GATATATATATATATATATATATATATATCCATAAATATGTATATGCGCAAGTGATTATTATCTACATGCAAAGTATGCCAAAAGTACCCACACAAAAACACGTTTCTGTTACAGATGATGTCTTCCTAATTTTGTTTTCTTCAATTTGTTGTTTTCCACTATATCTTCATTCATATGGGCTTCTGACAAAACAATTTCTTTAAGCATTATAGTGCATTTCGAGGGGAGAGGGGGGGGGAAATGTGTTTTCATTGACTCAACTATAGATCATGTCTTTCAGTTTTCTAATGAAAACTGAAATAATTCTATCCATCCTACAAAGAAACGAAATATGAATGGATCTTTTTTTTTCGGTTTTGTATCTCAAATCCCAATACGCTACGCAGTTTTAACCAAGAAGCTCGTTATAATTAACGTAGTAAGGGTCTCCAGGCACGAAGGTATGGCTGAACCAGTAAACTTCTAGGGTACAATTTTCAAACACTTTCTCAGTTCTTGTGGCACAGTTTAGTTAATATTAAATATTAGAAACTGTTCGGACAACGCATTGTTCTTGTTCCTTTTGAAACACACACCATTTGAAACCTCTAACTTTCGGATGATTGGTGTTTCTTGCCTTATCTTGACATCCTGTATCGCCGTCACCTAGTGCTTTTCTCTTTGGACTCGTGAAAAACAATATTTGAAGGGTCGTCAGCAAGCTCTGGATACATCTCCACATCATGAAAGTAATCTCCACGGTAACCAGGGACTGATCCGGAGTTTACAATATGTTCCTTTTCTTTCTCAGTCCAGCGTTGAGCGCTCTCTTGATTTAGCATTATCATGTCACGTTCGTGGGCCCAACGTTGACCAACAGCATGTTTCTTGGCATGGCGTAACAATCGACGTCGTTCTTTGCTTGGTGTGGTACCGTAACGAATGTTAATGATGGCATGTTGCGTGTGAATGCGAATATCTGCATGTGTTCCTTTCCCGCCTTCTGTTTTACCATCGTACACGGTGGTATTAATAGAGGTTCCTAAGCGCTGTAGCTGGTTCAAATCCTCGCTTACACGCCAGGTGCTGTCCTTGACAAAGTAAAACACGTCCATACTATGCATGAAAAGGTGGAGGTCGAGCAGATATGATCCATTAAAGACGGAGGTAAACACGTTACGTCGAATAGAGTCAGCTTCTTTGACAGACCTAACAATAGCTTTCCCGTGCACCCGAGAAAGAATGATTCCTTTTCCAAAAGGTACACTTTCCATGCTAAACTTGGGTGAAACAGATTCGAACAACTGTTCTCGTTTCACCTTCGATTTCTCAACATTTGACAAGATGGCGAAACTCTCCAACCTCTTACTTATAGAGCATATGTAACCAGACACCAAAGAAACAGAGGGTATATCTAAATTCAGCTTAGGGAGAGATGACTGGTAGACTGATGCAAATACATTAGCAGCTGCAAGTCCAAGATGATCTAAGTTAATGCCTTGATGTTTTATCCAGCCTTTTAAATCTAAAAAAAATGCAAATATATAATTTTGTTTGGTCATTATTTGGAAAACACTGAGTATGCTAAAATATGAGATATATCAATTAAATGGAACCCTACAGAGCCAAGACTTAGGTTCTAGCTATTGATATCGTTTGTGTCCAAAAAACGTTATTTAAAATAGTAATGCCAAAAAGTTATTTCGAATTTCTTAAAAATGGGTGTCTCTTTCATATTTATCATTAAGCTTATTAAATCAACACTAATGCCGTGATAGGCCATCATCATTAGCTCTTTTTAGCGATACCATATTATCATAACTTCATGCGATTATGGATAAATTCGGAATTTGGGTAAAGAATATTTAACGTATTCAAAGTTAATTTCACAGTTATTCACGTGGGAATCATAAACGTTTAATTACAAAAACGACAAAAAATAACAACAAACATTTCGTTAACATTCAAGTACAACAACAAAACATAATAAACCACAATTAATAGAACAATCACTGCAACTTCTTCTCTGCTACATATGCCTAATACTACACCATAAAAAAACCTGAAAGAAGTGAACATATCTAAACGGCAGACGAAGAATTGGGTTTTGAATCCTTTAACATAAACGTAATTACACAGTATTCAAGCTAACAAGAAATCATAAACAGTTCTTTACAAAATGTAGTGTTTTAAAATTCATTACTGTGAACTTTGATAATTAAGTTTGGTACATTTATCAAAATATTATAACCGATTTTTTCATCTAAACTGCCGAGCTAGAGTAGAAAAAAACCAACAAAAATGAGAAACTAAACATTACTGTTTAATTAATTAAATAGATTAATTAGAACATAATTTATTCAAATTCTCGAATTTACATCGAACGAAGGATTTTTCTAGTCTGCATTTTTTTCGAAGGTTTGAATCAAGAAATTTAAAGAATACTGGGAAAGTTAGCATACTAAAACTTATTAACCAATGATTAATTCAAATTAACCAGCATAAAACGTTAGGTTTATGTATGAATACTTGGAAAGTTATGTTTTTGTTATACTGAATCTTCTTCAAAGCTAAGTAATTTTGAAAGATTTAGGTTAACAAAAGTAAATACATTGTGAACCAAATTAAAAATTTATATAATGAAAGACATTCTTATTTTACTTAGCTGGCTTATTATTACCTGACCAAAACTTTTTCCTATAAAACCGAACTTTGCATACAATTGTTTTATCTTTATAACAGCAAGAAACACATAAGAGGTCCTTTACAATTTTCTACATTTTCACCAGCATAACGTAAACATTTTTGTGACCCCCACGTAAAAATGTTGAAGATTTTAAAAGAGGTTTCATCAGACATGGGTCATTATAAATAGCGCTCTTTATAAAGTTAGTTACTAATAGCAAATGGTGTCCATTTTGACATTTTCTGAAAAGCATACACGAGCTCCTCCTCCATATTCCCAACTTACGTTTTATATGCTCGTGAAAATGACGAAAATTGTGAACGGCCCCCAATGTAATACATATGAAACTAGGATATTACAGAATATAAATATCATGATAGGTTTGTTGACAAAGGTACTCACCCAGTTTGCTAGGGAGGGATCTTGGCATATTAATTGGGTCATTTTTATTGAATGTGTATAGGTTTAAGCTCAGTGGATCCCTGGCCTTCTGAATGACACCATCCCAATCTGGAGTCATCCACGTAGCTGCAAACGGATCATAGATACGATCTCCAAAGTGAATCAATCCGGTTAGCGAATCCCTGATCCCACCTTGAAAATCGACCGGTAGATAGAAAGTAGGGTTATTATCAATTAAAACAGACCCATAAGGCCCTCTAATGATCTTCTTGAGAATTTCCCCTTTTGAGTCAAAAACAGCCAGTGGACTTCCATTGTGATCTGTTGCCACGTAAAACTTCTCGTCGTTAAGGGCCACGTATATTGGTAAGTTTCTGTCATCATAGAGAATAGAGATAATTCTTCCATCGTTGTTATTGTAGACATAAGTGGGCAAGTGCAGGCGTTGGATGTCTGTATAAAAAAATTGGGTAACGTTTCCTAAACTGTCTTTTCGCGCTGCCAGTCTTCCTCTGGCGTCGTAATAGTAGTCCACGTGATACCTTAGTAATCTGTGAACACTGAGGAGTTGGCCTTTAGTGTTATACGAGAAATGTTCCTCACCTCTTTCTATGACAAAGCCACGACCATCCACTACATAAGAGGTTTCACCAAAACTAACAATCCGGTCTTCTGTATCATGAAGGATGTCAATACGATTACGATTATAATTTATGGTTATTAGGTTACCATTACTGTCATAAGCAAACCTCCATTCTTCGTCACTTTTTACCTCTTTTAGCTGCCCATCGCTGTCATAAGAGTAATTCAAAATATTTGTTTTCGAAGGATCTTCTGACTGCTTAATAAAATATTCGGCCTGACTCACTAAATCTCTATCATTATAGTGTAGAACCACTTTGTATACTTCCTTGCCCATGACCAATAAAGACATGTGGCGCACCCTATGTAAGGCGTCTACTTCGCGAGTAAACGAAGCCACGTCATCCGAAATGATAGTTTTGTTCCCATTAGCTTCAAAAATCTTAAAACCACCTATCTGCTTAAAAGAGCCTGTTATGGAGCTGAATGCGAAGTCTACTGTTGGAATCTGTAGGTTATCTATTCGCGCAGATATTCGTTTTACTCGAAAATGGTTATCATACTCGTAGTAGAAAACAGTGCTATTCAAGCTGAAGTTGCTCCTGTAGACGTATCTACACTGCAAAAGTAAGGCTCCTTCATACACGTATTCATTCTTCACTTCAACATATCCGTTGGACCAAGCCTCGGATTCAACAAAACCTGAAACTGTATAGTTTTTTTCAATCTTTCCTCCACCGAAAATGATGGCTGTCAATAACGATTGGTTATTATACCGATAGGCCACTCGTCCTTTGTCTCCAGGGTAAATCACCAAAACCGGAAGTTGGAAGTCATTGAAATGAGTTACGAATTTCCCATTATTACCTGGAGGAGTGTAATATAATTTATAGAAGCCAATGGAAGCATGGGCTAAAAATGTATGAAGACTTTCTTTTGGAGTGATGATCTCTTTCAGTCCGCCGTTTTGATCATAGCGGTAGATGAAAGTACGTCCACTAGGTAGAATAACTTTTTCAGGCTGAAAAAACAACAACAACAACAACAAAAACATTTTCAGAAATACATATTTTAATAAACTCGAGTTTACAAAATCGAAAATTGCAATTATTACATTTCAGTATACAATGGAACCTGATGGCTTTGCTATAGTTTTGCGTGCACTATAAAATGGCGTGATATCCATAAAAATTATCACAAGGGTAATTTTTTCTGTAACGTTTTTTACACCCAATAGGTGGCTCAAAGCCAAATTTGTTAAGGCAATTTACTTTTGACCCAATTTGATTTAGCGTATTCACAAAGCTCGTGCGGTAGGCACAGCGTTGGAATGAACTACACTACATAAAATTTACACCATTGTGCGAGAACAACTACCAATAACAAATAAATTATTCATAACGTATTAACAAATGAATTACTATATACGAAGAAGTAAAACACGTTTTTCTTCCTAACTATCTTTTTCTATAGCCCCAAAACGTCACGCAAAGATTTAGGTGAAATCATTAAATACACACTAAAAAGAAAAAGAAGAATTTTAATCCAATCAATGTTTTTAATTCTAAAAACGAACGCTATGCATGACTTATCGTGATTATGTTAAACTCATAATCTGAGTCTAAAGAAGTCAGATGTTTTGTGAAATTAAATTATAAAATGAGATTTGAGATACTCACAAAAAATAGCCGGTTATATAAAAATACACAGGGACCATGATTAGATTTATAACATAGGCATGTTGGTTTGTTTGTTTTTGAATTTCGCGCAAAGCTACACGAGGGCTATCTGCACTAGCCGTCCCTAATTTAGCAGTGTAAGACTAGAGGGAAGGCAGCTAGTCATCACCACCCACCGCCAACTCTTGGGCTACTCTTTTTACCAACGAATAGTGGGATTGACCGTCACATTATAACGCTCCCACGGCTGAAAGGACGAGCATGTTTGGTGTGACAGGGATTCGAACCCGCGACCCGCGGATTGCGAGTCGAACGCTCTAACCACCTAGCGTATTGGAATCGGGGAGGGGGGCACGTGACCCAATATTTAAATTGAGGGAGATCCGAATATCATTGCCCCCTCCAATATTTTACTGACAAGAACTTTTTATTTAGTCTTTTTCTATGCAGATGGAGTGTACCGAACTCATTTAAAAAAAACGAGTCATATTAAATATGTATGACGAAACATATATATGTGAAAATGCGATCTTGTATTACACAGAAACCAATTTAATTTGAATTTTGTACGTTTTTTTTATTTACAATACAGCGCTTGTCATTGTGTCGAATTGTTGAATAATATTTTAAAGCGTTTTTATCGGATATCAGACAATTTTTATTAAGTTACGACTGGCCCTTACAATGTTTTGTAAGTTCCGACGTGCCTGATGGTTTCTTCTTGTAAAGCTAACAGTTTTAGGAAAACTGAATTACTTACAGAATATAATGCATCATGATGTACAAATGTTTAGTTGTCGAACATGGAGTTCCTTCTCACGAGTAGTAAACTAATTTGCTGTTCAGCAAACAAGTGGGGACTTTGAGATGTACTCTTCCTTGAAAACTGCTCAATAAGCATTTCAATAATTATATATGTTTCACTGTTATGGAACATACTAAAACTAAATATTTTTTTTTCTTTATTATGTTATTAAACCGGAGATGGGAAATTTAATATGTCCCCCCCACCTTACCCTTGTTTGCCCATCGTAAGTGTATCTAAGTACGTTGTTGTTGGCATAAGTGATCTCCGACAGGTGGCCCATACGATCGTATTCAAATTTTTCTTCCAGTGGATCCTGTCTCCAGCCTGATAGGCGTCCCAGACGGTCATAACTAACAAGTAGTGCCCGCCTCGTGTCGGTGGGTAACCACTTGATCGGTCTTGAGGAGCTGTCGTACTGTACCATTAAGAAAGGACGTCTGGAACTGTTGTAGACGATTTCTCTCCCGGCTTCCCAGTCGTATTCCACCGTAAAAAAATGAACGCCGTTCACCTAAACAACAGTCGAAAAAAAAAAAACGAAACGAAAACCTGATATGTTTTTATAAGTTTTAAATACTAATGAAGGATTTAAAAAAAAAATTATTGACGCAATACCAGCACATGACAGTAGTGTATTTTGAGAAAATCTGTAATGTTTTTATAAGTTTTAAATACTAATGAAGGATTTAAAAAAAAATTATTGACGCAATACCAGCACATGACAGTAGTGTATTTTGAGAAAATCTGTAATGTTTTTATAAGTTTTAAATACTAATGAAGGATTTAAAAAAAAATTATTGACGCAATACCAGCACATGAC